CTTTTATCAGAAACACTTGGACTTTTGCATTTAGTGATGAAATTTGGACTGATGATGACAGGACCGTTTCTATAACTCCTCCGAAAGGAGGGGGTCGGTTGCAAACTGTAACTTGTAACTATTTGCATAACGCCCTGTCCATCCATCTGACCAGCGAGCATGTTTTAGCCACTCTATGTAACGTTTGTAGAGTGAACGTGCGCTTAAGTGATGCATCACGTTTGTACGGCCGTCAGTAGTCCGCCCCACGAGACCGCTGTCATGCATTGCGGGAATGTTTTCTGCGTGACCCAAGGCGAGGCTTCCTCGAAAAAAGGCTCTGAACGCGCTCGTGCGCTGCGCTCGGGCCGCAGACCAACCTTCATGTACAGGTGGGCCGGTGTGTGCTGAGGCAAAGCGTGTGACAGCTGATGACGCTGTGGGGCTGCGCGATTGACGTCGCTGTACGAACGTTGAGAGGCGGAGGGCGTGACTTCATCTACGCTGTGCTGTTGGAGTGAAGGCTGCGAGCCCCGCGGAAGTTCACGTTTTCTCTGGAGGGATGTGCGCCGCTCTCGCTGGAAGGAGGCGGAACTCGTCATCAGGGTTCGTTCAGCTGCCTCACTCTTTATGCTGAGACGCGGTGGGTGACGGCTGCCCGCGTTTGATTCGGTGGGGCGAGTGTCGCTCTTGTGAGAGCGAAGACCTCCACCTCACCCAGCCTGCGGTCCACATTTACACCGATGTGAGCCGGAGAGCCCCGGGCAGCTGTGTGTGTGTGAGTCACATCAACACAGCGCCGTTGGATGGAGGCTGTTTCATCCCACGAGTGCGAGTTTGACACCGCTTGGGTGAGGATCGCTTACCATTGTGTCGTGTGATCGACTCGTCATGTCTTGGAGCGACGGTGAGTTTAAAAAACCTTTATTTAAGGACACCGGCTCGTTATGTGTGAAGGATGTGTGCGCAGCCGCTGTGAGTTCATCCGAGCTTACAGACTGGCTAAAAAACAGACACTTTGATCATTGAATGATGATTTATTTCAACTTTCGTGTCACTTTTACGCACACCCTCCGCAGACCGTCATTTTCAAAACTTCTCCCTCTTGAGCTCTGCGATTTGTTTGCCCAGAGCGCTGTCTTGCAGGCGAACTCTGGGGACACGCTGAACTGCAGGTTGCCGGAATGAAGAGGGCTGGATTCTGACGGGCGGGGCTGGTGGTGGAACTGAGCAAGAGCCGCGGCCGTGGAAACGTCGATGCTCTGCTAGCGACGGTCCCTCCAGTGGGCCGGGGGGCGGGATGAGCCGCGCGGCTTGGTGAGGTGGCGCACAGCCTCTGGCACCTCCTCCGACTGCTTCAACTCACCAGCATGGAACTGAAGCTGCTCTCGAACAGCGCGTCCGCCGTGATGGGCCCTCCATCAGGTCTTTGTGCAGTTTCTCCAGCAGCGAGGGAGAGTAATGAAACCAAGTGGATCGTTGGATCATCGTCATCCACGCTGCAATCGTCGACAGGCAAACCGTAGAAGAGGCACACATGTTGAAGATAACGTCTGCTGTCTTACAGAGGGAGTTCTTTGTCTCCAAGGCAGGTCTGCGGCCTTCAGCGCCTTTGGACAGGCTATATGCTAGCAGCGCCACGTTGTTGCTAGCTGCGGCTGCCTGAAAGCACATTGATGGTCTCGATTGGAGAGCGCGGTCACCGTCTGGTTCGTGTTTCTCCGGAGGGACGGGACGCTGCTCCGACCTGGACAGCTTAGCTCTGAAGCTTCCGCGAGGCTCGGCTCTAGGGGGTTTACCGAGGGATAGCACCTCCCGGTGAACCCCTCCACTCTGGTGATGGGTGCGGACTGGGGACTGACTCTCCCAATCTACCAGGAAAAGCCCGTCTGTGGCCTCGCCCGTAGGACGTCCTGTTGGGAGCGCGAGGCCATATGGGTCAAGACGGTGAGCCGGAATGGAGCCCAGTAAACAACCTTCCTGCCGGATCATCCGAACTGGCGGGAAAGGCGTAGGATGTAAAAAAGGGTCCTTTCATGTCAGCCTCCTCCTGGGTTACGCCGGGCAACCCCTGGGGCGCCATCGGACGGGAGGAGTGTGATCGCCGATGCGAAAACGAGGTGGGATGGGGTGAGCATTCACTCAGCCCCCCCCCCCCCCCCCCCCACTACGCCCCCCCGGAGGGAAAAAAAAAGCAGCGGGGGCTGCAGCTGAGCACGCCTATCCCGGAGGAACCATCCGATTCGCTCCGAGGGTCGGCGATAAGAGGAAAAAATACAAGATGGCGTTGTCCAGCATGTAATGACCTGTCATTGGGAAATATTCCTCGGCGCTTACCTTGAATAGGACTACTCGTCATCTTCTCCTCGGGGAGAAGAACTCACCGGACGACCGGAGGTCGACTGCCGGGCCAAGCATCCTTAACAAAGGTTGGTCATCTACACAATTTTCCTTCTTTGTTCTTCTGACAGTGCTATATTAGCTCGCTGAAGAAAAAATGGGAGCCGATTTCCCGCTCTTAACGTAATTTATACGGACCGGGTGGGGCCCACACAGCAGGTGGGCGTGGACTAAATTTTTTTTCAGTGCTTATGCTGCGCATAACGGGATAAACCCACTAAAGCGAAGGCCTTAAAGGGCGAAGCTTATACGACATAGAACTGAATGCAAACACAAGTTTACATGTTTGAGTAACTGTTCAAAGAACTTTTCGGTTCAGCTCCGTGGTAACTTCTTCTTTTGTGAAACTGAACCAAAGATCAGTTAAATCAGGATAACTGGGTAATCCAGGCTTAATCTCTTATTTAGGTTTTGCAAACAGACCATGGTCCCACCATAACAATCATGTGGATTCAAGTTGTTTGTTTGGAAACTGGAAAACTTTTTTCTGTCTCTTTTTTCAGCCAAGCTTCAGCTCTCTAATGGTCTCACATTCAAATTATCTTTTGGGGCAAATATGACAAAGCTGCAGAATAAACATAAAAGAAAAATTCTCATCAGTTCAGAAAATATAATATTAAGAAATATAAACCTTTAAATTTTAATAGTGCAAAGTATTTCTTTCCACTCAAATAGTTCTCATGACAATAGAAATGAAGATGAAGTCAACAGGCTCAGCTGTGATTTCACATAAAGGTAAACAGTAAAAAAAATCAGATGGGAGGTTCAGCTGTGTTCATAAGGTGATTAATATGTCTGCACTTTTGAATAAATGGATGTAGGCCACAACTTTAGTCTTAAACCAATTTGTTTTTGATATTTTATGAACTGTGGAAGTTTTGTAAAGGTTGTTTAAAATGCTCATTCTATATCTCACTGCACAGTCTTATTTCAAACCACATAAAACCATAAATCAATTAATTAAAATGTGCAGCCTAATTGGGAATAGTGTGCTTTACCTTGGTAGTGGTATGCTGTGTAACGTGAAGAAAAAAAAAAGGAAAATAAAACTGGAATGAAAAAAATGGATATCGATGGGATTTTAGTGAAATCTATGGGAAAACTGAGCCAGTTATAGTTTTACGACTCAGAGACACTTCACAAAAGAAACATTCAACGGGTCACAGAAAGTTTCACGACTAAACTGGCATCTGTACTGTTTTTTACGTAATCACAGTTTGTTTTGTAATTTTTACTAATTTTTCAATAAAATGTTCAACTGATGGTTGATGATGTCACACATTATTTTAAAAAATATTGTGAAATTTCATATCTTTTGCAAATACTATCTTCTTACAACTCTTTAGACCATGTGGTTCTTCTCATCCTCAACATTTCATTGCATTGTTGACCTTGTGTGGATTTTCACATGACAAATATACCAAACCTGAATATACAATTTATATATCAAAACAGCAGGTGTTTTGTCTTGTTTCATTCAGTGTGTCTCTTACTGCTAAAGGACTTACAGTTTTCTCTTTAGTTTCTCCAGAATACAGAAGATTTACACTTGAGCTTCCACATCTTCAGGTATATTTTAACTTAAAAATATTATCTTCAAATCTGGCAGTGAAGGATCTTTTTAACTTGTCATATCTAAAACATTGTATTTTCATTACATATTTCATTATATTTCGTATTTCCATTCAGGCGTTAAACAATTTTAAGATCTAATTTTTAGTTATTGCACATCGATTGTGTGTTCAAAGCTTTCTTTTCAGTTTTTCTCTGCCTCCCATTAACTTGGCAGTCAGGGAGTGAGACACGGGTGTTTGGTTACCATGGTGATCCCTACCAGGCACTGGCAGCAGCTGTAACATTTCCTTTATGGTTTTGCTTCTTCAGTGTGTTTTATACAACTCAAACATCGAAACGTACCAGTTAGTGTTTTCTTCTTAAATGATACGAACTTGGGTTAGGATTTTGAGCAGTAGCTGCGTTGACACCCTAAAAATTTCTTCTGTAACGCTCCAGTTTTAGTTGTTGTTATTGTATGACTCCATACACTTGAAGTGACTTGATCTTCGACTGAACCGAATTCTTACAGGTCAACAGGAGGAACAACTGCGAGGTGAACTCAGTAAGAGGAAGTAGCACCAAACCTAAAATGAAGGCCTTAAAAACAGCAGAGTGACTCAGAGGAACGGTGAAAACAAAATCCACCTCTGCGGCCTGTAATTGCCCACTGGGGAGCTACAAGGTCAAACCCAGTGTGAATAGAGACATATTTTGCTTTAGCCAAAAGCTCAAGGCTGCATGTTCACAGCCCTATTCACCACAGTGCAAACAAAAAACTGTGCTTTTAGAAAAGGACTTGAACGAGCCTTGAAAAGGTGACGAGGGGTTCATAACTTTCATGGGTTCATAACTTTCATTTGACTCGAACTAAATGGCTTCAGTGTAAACGCTCTGCTCATTGGTTGTCTTGATTTGCAAACACTAAAACGGCTCCTATTTTACTTTTCTAACAGGAAAATTGAACCAGAATTACTTTGATTGTATTGAGGATCACTCAAGACAGTCAGACTATTTCAATGCAGGAAAGATAATCCAGACTGCCAAGAGGAATCTGTCACCCGTCTCCTGGTCTGAGATCAGTCTTGTGGCTCCTCTCACAATGCACGGGAGAAACCAGGAAGGAAACCTGCACAAAAACACATGTTTAGTCTAACATCTAGTGTTGTCACCATTTAAAAAAAGAAAAAACTCTGTTCTACATTCAGTGCTGGATGTCTCTCCTTGAGACATGGATGCAGGAAAACTGTGACGACATGAATATTAAAGTATTTACCAAACAACCGGTGATGATAGATGTTGTACGTCCTGCAGGATGATGGGACTTACTGTCATTGTGTCGGGAGCATCAGAGCATCCCGTCGCCTCAACAGGATCCTCTGCAGCTCGTCGTCATGCCTCGCTGAAGGAGATGCAGCCTTTGTTTGGGGGCGGGGTTTGTTGAAATTCTCCTGCACAGGTGAACAGAGACACCAGTTGTTACAATACAATACAATACAACTTTATTTATAAAGCACTTTAAAACAACACCGTTGGCCAAAGTGCTGTACACTAACACATACAAGCATAAAAACTATGAACTCAACAAATACCATAAAAGTAATGAACTACCAAATCATAAAGCAGCAAACAGTAACAACAATAAAACAAATAACATAAAACAGTAAAGCCAACATTTCAAGCTGCGTTAAAAGCCAAAGAGAAAAAAATGAGTCTTCAGAGCAGAGCAGAGCAGATTTAAAAACAGGAAGTGAGTCAGCTTGTCTGACGTGCAGAGGCAGCTCGTTCCACAGTTTGGGTGCAGCGACTGAGAATTCTTGGTCACCTCTCAGCCTCCTGTTTGACTTTGGGACGGTCAACAGCAGCTGATCAGGTGACCTAAGAGAACGTGAGGGATTGTACGGCTGGAGAAGGTCGGACAGATACTGTGGGGCGAGACCATGAAGACATTTAAATACGAACAAAAGAACCTTAAAATTAATTGGAAACGAACTGGGAGCCAGTGTAGTGATTTTAGGACAGGGGTGATGTGCTCTCATTTTCTGGTGCCAGTTAAAAGACGAGCAGCAGCATTCTGAACCAGCTGAAGTCGAGTCAGTAACTGGCTGACTCAGACCCACATAAAGTGAATTGCAATAGTCCAGACGAGTTGTGATGAAAGCATGGATTAAAATCTCAAAATGATGTTGTGACAGGAATGGTTTCACCTTGGCCAGTTGTCTCAGGTGATAAAGGTTGGACTTGACCACAGATTTAATCTGAGCATCCAGTTTAAAATCATTGTCCAACCTCACACCCAGGTTGGTTGCTGTCTCAGTCAGATGTTTGGTTAAAGGACCCAGATCAACATGGACTTTGGAACCATCACTGGGCTTAAACAACAAGACCTCCGTCTTTTTCTCATTAAAGTGTAAAAAGTTCTGTGACGTCCATGCTCTGACTTCCGCCATACATTTCAGGAGTTGGTTCAAGGCGTACTGTTTATCTTGTTTCAAAGGAATATAGATTTGGCTGTCATCGGCGTAAAAATGAAAAGAAATACCATGTTTCCGAAGAATATATCCCAGAGGTAGTAAATAAAGGGAAAACAGAAGGGGGCCAAGTACAGACCCCTGAGGTACTCCACATGTGAGAGGTGCTACAGAGGACTCCACAGAAACAAAGCACATACAAAAGCTTCTCTCAGTTAAATAGGATCTAAACCACTGTAGAGCAGGACCCTGAATGCCCACCCAGTTCTCCAGACGAGACAGGAGGATCTGATGGTCCACTGTGTCGAAGGCAGCAGTTAGGTCCAGCAGCATCAAAACTACACGGTGACCAGAGTCTGTGGCTAAGAGAATGTCGTTAAAAACTTTCAACAGTGCCGACTCAGTACCATGGTGAGTTTTAAAACCGGATTGAAACAGTTCAAGAAGGTTGTGGTTGTTTAAGTAACATGTTAACTGACTGTAAACTATTTTCTCCAAGCTCTTGGACACAAAGGGCAGTTTAGAAATAGGCCTAAAATTAGACATGACTGTGTGGTCCAGGCCAGGCTTTTTAATCAGTGGTGTCACAACTGCGTGTTTAAAACTCACAGGTACCTGTCCACTTGCCAAGCTGCCATTTATGATTTGGGACGCAAAAGGAGCCACCGTGTTAAAAACCTCTTTAAAAAGATGAGATGGGATGGGATCGTTTGGAGATCCAGCAGATTTCATACGACCAGTGATGTCTTTTAAAAAGGCAGGGTGACGAACTCAAACTGACTGAAAACAGCAGAGCGTGTGACAGAGATGGAGGGGTCAAAAGATGGAGGGCTTATGAGAGCTCTAATGTTTGCAACCTTGTTGGGAAAAAAGATTAGGAAGTTCTCACACACTTCAGTTGTTGTTGCTAGTCAGTGCTTAATTTGAGATGGATCCTGCTGGAACAGGATCCAGTAACTCTCAGGCTTACTAATAATAAAGTCATGAACAAATTTGACTACCTTGAACAAATAAAACTTATATTTGATATGTAAACTGAAAATAATTACATAAACACTTATTTTAAAGACAACAGCACTTACCAGCTTTTTAATATCCCATACGATCTGCCCCTTCAAGTAAGCATTTCTGCCTCTATCGTGAAAACATCTCCGCCCCTAAAGAGTGGTGGGAGTGAGTGATGAGCTAACCAGGCAGTCATACGTGGGCAGGAGCCCACAGGCAGCCGCCATGAACAGATGGAGGAGGTGCCTGGAGGTTTCACACGTGGAGTCTGACAACAACGAGGACAGTAAATTCAGCGGAGAAAAGTTGAGCTCAGAACCGTTGGGGGGGGGGGGGGGGGGGTATGTGTGACAAAAGCATAGTGTTCACAAATGAGGCAGCCTGTTAAAATACACCAAAACGCAGGAAGTCGCATCTACTTTATTCAAAATTTTTTGGCGGAGGACTCCCGGACCCCCTGCCCCTATTTGCTTTTGGGCATCGATCAGTTTACAAATTACTCCCTGTTGCTAGTGTTTGTTGCTGCTGATACTTTTGATTCACCGGAGGACATTGACTGATTACAGTGACCTCGAGAGCATCTGTAGACGTTGTTGACCGGTCTCGTCTCTTCCTTCTTCATGCTCTGCTCTGCAGAATGTCTACATAAATATGTGCTTGTTTATGCGAGGTGTTTTTTCAATATAAGGGGTTTTTTTTTCAGCCAAGAAAAAAGTCTGATAGGAATTTTTTTTCGCCTCCAACTCCTACATGTGTCCACTTAACCACTGTTTTTGTCTGTCCAAACAGGTCTCACTTGTAAATGAGTCTTCGAGGCTCAATGTGATTTATCTGTTTAAATAAAGGTTGAATGAAAAATTCTGTTTGACACTACAGTGGTTGCAAAAGTATTCAAACCATTTGGTAATTATTTTATTTTGTTGTCTTACAACCTAGAATTTAAATGGATATGTTTTATTATAAACTTACACAGGATACCTCAGATGAATGAGGTTAAATGGGAAAAATTGTTTTAAATATTTCTAAAATAATTATAAAACTGCAACATGTAACATGCATTTGTTTTGACCCTCTTTGCTTTGAAGTCCCAACTTTTGCCTTCAGAAGCCACAAAATGAGGTAAATAAGAACAATCTAAGGCTCAAAAGATCTCAACATATTTCCACCTGTTCTGATAGCCCCCAGAATCCACACCAGCACCACCACGCCTCTAAGCAGTTTAGCAATGTGATGTTCAAAAATCCTTTGAACAGTTTTTACAACACATGGGGGGAACTGAGTCACAGACCATTGAAAGACGTTCCTTGTTTTGTTTTTTCCTCTTTGTGCTTTCCTTCTCAAATACAGACACAATCCAATATCCATAGTTATCCAAGACATAATCCAATTGTTATCAACAAAAAGAAAACATCCAGAGGACCTGACTTACCTTTATTAGATTTTTCTACCTGGATTATTGAGTGGGCAGCATGTTGGTGCAACTGGTAGAGCTGCTGAATCTCAGCAAGCAGGTCCCTGGTTCAAATTCCGGTCAGGGGGCCTTTCTGGGTGGAGTTTGCATGTTCTCTCCGTGCATGCATGGGTTTTTTCCGGGTACTCCGGTTTCCTCCCACAGGCCAAAAGCATGCATATTAGGCTGATTGGTAACTCTAAATTGTCCCTAAGTGAGTGAGAGAGTGAATGGTTGTTTTTCTCGTTTGTCTCTATGTTTTCCTGTGATGGACTGGAGACCTGTCCAGGGTGTACCCGGCCCCTCGCAAAGTGATTGCTGGACATGGGCACCATGAGTCCGAGGGGTGAGGGTGGACTACAGAAACCACCTGAGTACCATCAAACTGGTTGATCCACTATGAGAAGTGGATAAAACAGAGTTCGTTGTGGCTCCTCAGACTGCTGAAGTCTTTAGGATGAAAAATGAAACATTTCATCAATAGCAAACCATCCAGAGGACCTGACTTAACTTTGTTAGTTTAAGAAGTTCAAATCAGTGTTGGAACTACAAAACATCCCAGAAACCTGAATATCCAACAAAGCACCAATAAATCGATTACAGTATAAGGAAATGGAAAGATGATACCATCGCAACAAACATGACAAGGGAAGGTTGTCTGCCAAACATTATGGTCTAAACAAGGAGGGAATTAATCAGAGAAATGTCCCGGAGGTTAAAGATAACCCTGATGGAGCTGAGCAGCTCTTCTGCAGAAGTGGGAGGATCTACCCATCGGACCCCTTAAGCTGCACAGAGCTGGGCTTGATAAAAAAATAGCAGGAAAATGTTGTTGCTGAAAAATCATTTTTAAAGCTTAGTGTTGGGGCCATTGTGGCTGAGTGGTTAGGGAAGTCGTCCTCCAATGCAAAAATTGGGGGTTCGATTCCACCTGCAGTCACATGATGAAGTGTCCCTGGGCAAAACACTGAACCCCTCATTGCCTTCGATGTGTGTCCCATCAGTGTATGAATGTGATAAATCACTGATTATTCTTTGTATAGATCTAGAAGAGTGCTGTACGAATGGGTAAATGAGGACACAGATTGTAAAGAGCTTTATGTCAGAAAACCATTTTAGGATTCTAAATCAACCAGACACAAGAGTAAAACAAAAAAACAGTCTTTATTTATTTATATTAAGCAGCTGCAGGGAAGAGTCACGGTGACAGATCCTCACTGGCAGGACAGAGTGAGAGCCAACTGTCAGAAACTGCAGTGGTGACATCACAGGCAGCGCAGCTGTGGTACATGGTTTGTGAGGGCAAATCCAAGCATGGTCCAAGAGACAATGTGGGGTCATACACACAAGATCATAGTTTTAAATCATTAAGCCCAAAAAACGTAACCCTGATGCATGGTCGTAGACGAGGAAGCAGGGGTTGATACCATGGACAGAAAAGTGTAATCCAACAGGGGCAGGCAAAGCAAAGAAACCAGGAAACAGGCGTGAGGTTGATAATCCAGAGAGCAAGGTCTGAGGTCTGGACATGAAACTATGAAGGTTTCAAAGTCAGGGACCATGGAAGGTATAATAATCTCGCACTGAATGAATGTGGGCATGGAGTTTAAGTAGTGGAGAAAACGGGAGAGAGGCATGAAGGTTGATTGTGGGGAATCAGCTGAGTGGGCATGGTGACAGAGAAGTGACATGAGTGGACTTGAAGTGCAGATTGACAGGAGATGAGGGTTAAACAAAACATGAAGGAGAGGGGCAGAAAACATGTCATGTCATGAAGGGGCAGATACGTGAGCAGATGGGGGGCCAGCAGGGGCCGCTGATCATGACACTTTGAATATCTTGATAGGATAGTAAGGCGCTATATAAGTACAGTCCATTTACAATTTAACATATGGGATTTCTCAAAATCAGAGAACGTAGAGTGTGTTCCAACTACAGGGGAATCACGCTCTTACGCTTCCCTGGTAAGGTCTATTCAGAGGTTCTGGAGAGGAGGGTCCATCGGATAGTCGAACCTCGGATTCAGAAGGAGCAGTGTGGTTTTCGTCTTGGCCATGGAACACTGGACCAGCTCTACACTCTCAGCAGGGTCCTGGAGGGTGCGTGGGAGTTTGCCCAACCGGTCTACATGTGCTTTGTGGACTTGGAGAAGGTGTTTGACCGCGTCCCTCGGGGAACCCTGTGGGGGGTACTCTGGGAGTATGGGGTACCGGGCCCTTTGATATGGGCTGGTAGGTCCCTGTATGACCGGTGTCAGAGCCTGGTCCGCATTGCCGGCAGTAAGTCGGGCTTGTTCCCGGTGAGAGTTGGACTCCGCCAAGGTTGCCTTTTGTCACCGATTCTATTCATAACTTTTATGGACAGAATTTCTAGGCGCAGCCAAGGTGTTGAGGGGATCCATTTTGGTGGTGTTAGCATTGCATCTCTGCTTTTTGCAGATTATGTGGTCCTATTGGCTTCATCAGATAGTGATCTACAGCTTTTGCTGGAGCGGGTCGCAGCCGAGTGCGACGCGGCCGAGATGAAGATCAGTTCCTCCAAATCCGAGGTCATGGTCTTGAGCCAGAAAAGGGTAGAGTGCCTACTCCGGGTCAGGGAGGAGTTCCTACCCCAAGTGGAGGAGTTCAAGTATCTTGGGGTCTTGTTCACGAATGAGGGAAAAATGGAGGGTGAGATCGATAGGCGGATAGGTGCAGCATCTGCAGTGAAGCTGGCGCTGTACAGGTCTGTCATGGTGAAGAGAGAGCAGAGTCAAAAGGCGAAGCTCTCAATTTACCGATCAATCTGCGTTCCTACCCTCATCTATGGTCATGAGCTTTGGGTTGTGACCAAAAGAATGAGATCTTGGATAAAAGTGGCCAAAATGAGTTTTCTCCGCAGGGTGTCTGGGCTCTCCCCGGAATTCCCCCAGAAAAGCTGGCCGAAGTGGCTTGGGAGAGGGAAGTCTGGGCCTCCCTTCTTAGGCTGCTACCCCACGACCCAACCCCGGATAAGCGGAAGAAAATGGATGGATGGATGGGATTTCTCAAAAGGCATATTGCAGGCTCCCCATACATGCAAAATAGGTCATGCAGGGCTAAAATAGTTATTTGTGTGAATTGACAATGCAATTCTGCCAGAGACCAAACACCATCATCATGTTGAGATCATCAGAACATCAGTGAATGTTTTCTTTTATCACTAAGAACAGGGAAACTAGTCAGAGTTGAAGGAAAGAAGAATAGATTAAAAACAGAGAAATGCTTGATGGAAATCTGTTAGTTTTCCAGAGTTTGGAGACAATGATCCCAAACCCACCACTGAAGCAACACTTGAGTAGTTTAAGGAGAAACAAGAATGACCTAGTCTTGGTGACTTGGTGTGTCATCTGAACAGAGAATGGAAGATAAGGAAACCTGGTAGTGGAATAGTGAAGTGTAGGAAGCTATTCACAGAAAGAGGTTAGCCAAAAACACATATGACAGTGAGAGGACCGAAGAGACGAGACCAAAATATAAGGAGATGCAATGTAGAGCAAAGACGGAGGTGGCAAAGGCAAAGCAGAAGGTGAAGAGTTGTATGGGAGGATGGACACTAAAGAGGGTGAGAAGGACTTGTACCAATTGGAGAGACAGAGGGATCAGGCTGGAAAGTGTGTGCAGTAGGTTAGTCTTGTTAAAGATGGGAATGATAATGTTGTAACAAGTGAGGAGAGTGTGATTAGAAGATGGAAGGAGTACTTTGAGGAGCTAATGAACGAAGAGAATGAAAGAGAAAGAAGAGTAGAGGTCATATAAACTGTGGATCAGGAAGTGGAAAAGATTAATGAGGGTGAAGTCCAGAAAGCTCATAAAGGAATGAAGGGGAAGGCAGTAGGACCTGATGACATACCAGTGGAGGTTTGGAAAATGTCTTGGAGAGATGGCAGTGAGGCTTTTGTCTCAAATATTCAATGGCATATTTGAGGGTGAGAAAATGACTGAGGAATGGAGAAGAAGTGTGCTGGTGCACATTTTTAAGAACAAGGGTGATGTACAGAATTGTAATTAAGTTGATGAGAGACACAATGGAGGTCTGGGAGAGAGTTGTGGAAGCAAGACTTAGACGAGAGGTGACTATCTGTGAGCAGCAGTATGGTTTCATGCCAAGAAAAAGCACCACAGATGCCATCTTTGCTTTGAGAATGCTGATGGCAAAGTGAGAGGGTCAGAAAGAACTCCATTGTGCCTTTGTGTATTTAGAAAAAGCATATGACAGGGTGCCGAGGGAGGAGGTGTGGTATTGCATGATGAAATCTGTAGTGGCAGAGAAGTATGTTAGGCTGGTACAGAACATGTATGAGGATGGCAGGACAGTGGTGAGATGTGCTGTAGGGATGACAGATAGCTTCAGGGTAGAGGTGGGAGTCCATAAAGGATCAGTTCTGGGCCCCTTCTTGTTTGCTCTGGGGATGGACCAACTAACAGATGAGGTCAGGCAAGAATCCCCGTGGACTATGATGTTTGCAGATGACATTTTGATCTGTGGTGAGAACAGGGAACAGGTGGAAGAGAACTTGGAGAGGTATGCACTTGAAAGAAGATGAATGAAAGTCAGCCATAGTAAGACAGAGCACATGTGTGTGAATGAGAAGTAGGTTGGTGGAACAGTGAGGCTACAAGGAGCAGAGGTCACAAAGGTGCAGGACTTCAAGTACTTGGGGTCCACTGTCCAGGAAAATGGGGAATGTGGCAAAGAGGTGAAAACGAGAGTTCAGGCAGGATGGAGTGGATGGAGAAATGTGTCAGGAGTGATTTGTGACAAAAGGGTGTCAGAAAAGATCAAAGAAAAATTTACAATATAGTTGTGAGACCAGTTATGTTGTATAATCTGGAGACAGAGACATGGACAAAAAGACAGGAGACAGAACTGGAAGTGGCTGAAATGAATATGTTGAGGTTCTCCTTAGGAGTGACAAGGATGGATAAGATTAGGAAGGAGATCATCAGAGGTACAGCACAGGTTGAACAACTCGAAGATAAAGTTAGAGAGGCCAGACTGAAATGGTTTGGACATGTCCAGAGGAGGGACAGTGGTTTGGACATGTCCAGAGGAGGGACAGTGGGTATATTGGTAGAAGGATGTTAGAAATCCAGCTGCCAGGAAAAAGACAAAGAGGAGATACAAAGTATATGGATGCAGTTAGAGAGGACATGGAGGTAGTTGGAGTGAGGACAGGCTGCAGAGGACAGAGTCAGATGGAGGAGGATGACTCATTGTGGAGACCCTGAAGAGGGAAAAGCCAGAAGCAGAAGAAGAAGAAGAAGGAATGACCTAATCAAAGTCCAGTCCTCAATCCAACTGAGAATCCCTGATTTGATTTAATGATTGTTGGAAAAAAGCTGCACCCATCCAACTTGAAGGAGCTGGACCACTTTGATCATTATGAACAAGTCTAGTGGCTAACTGTGCCAGGATCATGGAGACAAACCTAAAGAGTACAGATGCTGGAACTGCTGCAAATGATGGCTCTACAAATTATTCTCTTTAGGAAAGTGACTACATATACTGTACCGATACATGCACCAATCTTCAGTTTTTAATTCTCTAACTTCTTTGAATTGGACTATTTTGGGTAAATGTATTCATCAGGGTGGCACGGTGGCTTAGTTGGTAGAGCTGTTGCCTTTCAGTGAGAAGTTTGCCTGATTGAATCCCGGCTGGGAGTGAGAGAGTGCTTGAGAGTTTGTTTCGTTTGTCTCTGAGTGTCCCTGTGATGGACTGGAGACCTGTTCAGAGTGTCCCCTGCCTCTCACACAGTGACTGCTGGATATGGGTACCAGTGACCCCCATGACCCAGAAACAAAGAAGCGGGTAAAAATTATGTATGGATGGATTAATTAAATTTGAAAACTGAATAGAATTTTAGGTTGTAAAGCTATAAGAGAAAAAAAATGACAAATGGGAGTGAAACCACCAAACAACATATCTTCTTACACAAACACATTTATAAACAAAAAATAAATAAATAAAAATAAAAACCAGATGACATGATTTAACCTTTTTTGTTGTACAACACAAATATACATATATAATATTTTTAACATGCAAATAATATACTGTATTTAAAGCTTTTTTAACGCTCCTTCTTCCAATGGGTCAAAATGACCTAGGAGACATGGGTCATTTTGACCCAAGAACAGCAGGCCTGCTAACTGTATACTGCAAAGTATTTGACCAGATTTCTGAATTTTGTTTGATTTTTTTAGGACTATATACTTTAAAGACATCTGTGTACAGTGTGAATAAATGTTTCCCTAACAGGAAACAACCCAGAAAGTTTGAAGAAGAAAAACATGACCTGCGAGTCCCATTACCATGATTCCTTTAAGTTCCTGAATGGCAAAATTAGACGGCAGCCTCTCCATCTGTTAAGAGGAAAATAGGAGGAGAAAATGGCTTCGGTAAATAAACAGCAGTCTGACACATTATACTTATTTTTCCTCATTTAGCACTTGGATGAATAAACTGCATCTCTCACCACAAAGACGGAACATTGTAGTGAAACATGAGGATGTATGCTTTCTACAAGAAGTAAATGTGTTAACGCACAATCATTTTGAGTCATGGCAATTTTTCCATCCTCATTATTTATAATTACCTTGCAGAGCAGGCCCTAATGCTATCTAATTTGTCAGAGTTGTTAAGGCGGAGGAACAAGCTGACTAAAAGATGTCTTGACCGTTTGTCATGTTTTATCAAAACATGAAGCTCGGGGATAATCCGCAACACTGATGGGTTTAAGAGCAATGAACAATATACATTCAACAACGTGCAAACAAACAAACAAAAAAACATTCTTCCATCAGGCCTGAGAACATTTCAGATCTGCAGCCGATGGTTTTCTTCAGTGGTTTTAGCTGAAAGCATTTTTCTGTCACAATGATGCTCAATTATCCACCCATCCCATGTAACTGGGCACAGCAGTCTCATGTCAAGCTTCAGTGTTTAGTTTTCACTTGACCTCACTTTCCATGCTGGTTTCCTTCAAACTTTCACCTGGGATTGAGTTCTCTTTAGTGTAATAATGACATTCTTCTCCAGTTTATGTGAAAGAAAGAACCAGAACTCAGCTGCTATACTGTCCTGTATCTGACTCTGATACAGGCTGTTCTTTTCAGGTCTCTCTTGTAAATGAGTGCCCGAGGCTCAATGGGATTAACCTGTATAAATAAAGGTTGAATGAATGAAAATACAGGCTGTCATGGTTTAAACTCCTTCAGTTTGTCACAAACTAGAAGTAAATCTGTTTCTAATGAACAGCGCAGTAATAGCTTAGGCAGATTTGGGTTGTTTCTCTAATATACATAGAATTGCGATAATTTGAGTGTTATAAAACTTTAATATTAAGATAATAATTCTGTTTTTATTGGTAGAAATACAACATGCTGTGTTGCCTTCATTCACAAGGGTCATGAGACATTTTGACCCAAGGGCAGCAGGAGGGTTAAAGCTTTTCCTTTAGAAGATTTTTTTTTGCCCTGCAACAATGGTCAAAGATTATGTTGTGAAAAACTCTAAGCTTCTAGAAATTTTTTTTTTTTTTTGTCAAATTTTAATTACATTTTCTGTAAGATTTGAACTGTAGCCCTTTTTGCGTTGACTGTTGATGAACTGTGGCAGCCATCTTGAACTGGATTAATTTCAAAAGGTCATCCTTCACATATCCAATATTTGTAAATTCTATGATTACTTTCTGAAAGTTGTATTAAAATTCAGCTAGTGGTTTTTGGAATATTTTGCTAAACAGGATTGGCACCTAGGAGAATGTTTAAAGGAACTCTAACTCTGTTTCGTACTTTTAAATTTAGAGTTAAAATGTCCCACTTTTAGTGATGTAAGAAAGAAGAGTGCAGATAACCTTTAAGAGGACTGATTTTAATTTAATTTCAGTTGGAAGTGATTTTTTTTAACAACCAGACAACATTTTTTCTAGATTTTCTGTTACACAAAGATGGAAGAAAAGTGACTTATTTATTAGGTACTTTCCAACAGAACTTTTACAAGTGAAGGAAATTGTGTTAGCTAAATGTCAAGTAAGACAATAGAAACAATTCAGTTTTACATTTCTGGTAGAATTAACAAAAAACAGTCCAACTCTGCAAGTTGACCATTAAACTCTTTTTTTTTCTTCATATTTCATATTTTCTTTTCTTTGTTTTTTGTTGACAAAGTTCTGCTACTACTTTGGATTTCTGTAATCAGCTTTGGAAGAAATTCAGTTTTGTCTCTTCAGCATGAGTTTGGTACTTTCAAAGCTCAACAACATAACTACTGAGAATTAAGATGTGTAAAGATTTCATAAACTGTTTTAAAAACATCCTGACCAGGTTGAACATCTTTTAAGTTGGCATTACCTGTTTCCTGGTCCTGTTTGGTGACTGGCTGACGGGTCGAAGTTGAACCCCTTTTTTTATTCTTTGCATCATTTCCTCCACTGCCTGCTGCCTGACATCCACCTCTGACAAAAACAACAAACACCAGTCAGAATTATTACAGACAGTCAGACTTTACTTCTCCTTCATGCATTGCTTTTAATGGACAGATCTTTTCTGGGTGCAGTTTGCATGTTCTCTCTGCGCTTCGTGGGTTTTCTCCGGGCACTCCGGTTTCCTCCCACAGACCAAAAACATGCATGTTGTCTCTCGGTGTGAGTGAGAGAGTGAATGGTTGTTTGTCTAGTTTGTCTCTATGTGTCCCTGTGATGGACTGGAGACCTATCCAGGTGTACCCCACCTCTTACATTGTGATGGCTGGACATGGGTACCAGTGACCCAAAAAGGAAGAAGTGGGTAAAGATAATGGATGGATGGATGGATGGATGGATAGATAGATGAACGCTTACACCTAATTTAGACTCCGCCCACATTGATATAGACAGTTTTAAAAAGGGGACTATTTTCCCCTTCTGCTTTATCACCATCCATCTCATCTACATTTCTGTGAAATCATTTTTTGAAAATACTTTCTGAAGGAGAGTTAATTTTTTAAACCCTCAGTTCTTTGTGGATCTACGAGGAGTTAACGCCAGAGATGTCTTATATGACTTTATGAAGGGAAACAGATCTTGGCAAAACTGTTTACTTCATAGAGCCATTCTATAGAGCAATTCAATTTTGAACGACAGTGACATCATCATGTACAATATACGACATGTACGGCATACGTGATGATGTACATCATGAGGCCCGTAACACGTGTTTTGTTAAGCGGTAACCCCTCCCCTTCTCCCGAGCTGCTGCACTCCTCCCTTTGCCTGTTTGCCTTCATCTCAGTGAAAAAGTGAAGGTGGAGCGTTTGTCTGTGTGACTGAGGGGGAAGCATAAAACTGGTTACCAATGTTCCCTCTAAGCTGCCGCGCACTGCTAGCACATTCTCTGCACACAGTGAACTCTATGCTGCGCAGTTAGGGCAACTGTGCAAGTATCCAAGCAATATATCTACTTATCTCCCGCTTTATACTGTAATAAACTGTCAGCCCGAGCGCAGCAGTCTCTCCAGTCTGTCTGTATGCAGTGCAGAAATGCATGCAGACTGGGGGAAAGCACCCCCCCCCCCCCCCCGGTCAAAACAGATCTGTGTAACGTGATTTGTGTAATGACGACTGAAGTTTATGAAGAGGTAAAAAAAAATTCAACCAATGAAATCACAGGCAAACTTTCATTCCAGCCAATCAGCATCTTTCGGAGTTTTGGCGCTATGTCTGAATAAGCTAAGTAGCTACAAACAACCTTGGCTTTCTAGCGTTTTCCAAGCTTTATACAGCATATTTCATTGCATACCGAGGAATAATATTTGACGTTGTGGATTTATCACAGAAGTTTATGGTTGTACGACATGAGACAAAGGCGTAAGCTAAACCCACAACTTGTAGCTGTTTTTACCATGCTAAGTGTTAGAAAACAATCTAGATTCCTAGTCCAGGTGATTCTAAATCGATTCTAAATTGATTTAAAAATGCGTTTGTTTTATTTTTTTTCCACTCTTACTCCCAATCGTACTGCATTACGTCCACCCGTCATTGTAGAATTTGGCCTTGTAGACCACCGTACAGCAAGCTAGTTAGCTAGCTCCCCTATCTGAATGGAGTGCTAGCATGAAGTGGAGGACAACATGATTCAACCCGCACCTTCCTTGTTAAAAGTCAGTGTAAAGTCAATTCGTATCCTACAATGTTCCGGGAAGACAAAGCTTGACAAGGGCACGGTTGTTTGCAAGAAGTGTAAAATAAAATTGTGGTACAGTATTTTTGAAATACGACAAATGCATGGAAGGAAGATGAAAAACGAAGCAGCCGACAAGCTGCAAAAAACTTCCAGCTAATTCCACAAACAGAGCTGCGAAGATTTCCCACTCCATCTCCTGCTATATCACAAAGCATTTACAAACATACAGCTCCGTCGAAGGCGAGGGATTCAGGTTTATTTTTAATACACTGTACTCAACGTACATTATTACTTCACCTAGCTTTTTTTAGTGATAAGGTTGCTCTACACCTCCACCATGAAACAAAGAATGAAATGGGAGAAGCTCTGATTAACGCTACCAACTGAAGCTCAAAGGTAAGTGTTATTTCTCATATTATACTAAAACTTATAGACAAGTTGTACAACAAACTTAATGTAATTTGTCTTTTTAACAGGTGGAAGAGACCAGATGAGACACATCACCTGGAGCCAGTTCTAAATGATACAATTTATGATTTATAAATTACAGTTCAGAAGATGTTTTTGTGCAAACTTGCACAGGTTTTGAAATTTTGTTAAAGATTTACCAAATATGAATCTATATGGTTAAGACTGTGAAGTCTGTATATTTCATATTAGGTTAAGTTTTGAAAATATAACAAATAGTGCAATATGGTTAAAAAAAACTGTGAAGTATATATTATATTTTGAGTTAAAGGTTAATGTACTATGCTAGGCTGAAGTCTGTTTACTTTTGTATTTATATATTTTGAATTATTTGTCTGTGATGGACTGGAGACCTGTCCAGGTGCCCCACCGCCTCTCACACAGTGATAGATGGACATGGGCAACAGTGACACCCGTGAATCGAAAAGGAAGAAGTGGGTAAAGATGATGGATGATGGATGGATTAATTATTTGTTCTTAGATTTAGATTTTTATTTTAGAAAAATCCAGGCAGCTAAGCTAAGCTAATACTGGTAATTTAATTTACAGAATTGTATCTACTCCTATATTTGTTCCTGATTTTGGTATAAATTAAAAATGTTTGATTCAATTCAATTCAATTCAAAAATACTTTATTAATCCCAAAGGGAAATTATTTGTTGTTGTAACTCGTTATCCTCATTTCATTAAGAGATGTTATAGATACTGATGGCTGTAGGCAGGAAGGATCTCTTGTAAAGGTCCATCCCACAGTGGATCCTAAGAAACTGGCAGCAGATGCCGTCTGATCCATCCATCCAGACTCAGCTGGCCTCTCAGTTCCCCCGGGCTGTAGGACTGCCCAAATGCCCCGGGATACAGTAAAGAACCTAAAATTATTGTTTTAAATAAAAGTTCTATTTGTTTACATTGTTGTTCAATCTTTTCATCTTGTCAGTTACATAACTGAAACAAAATTTATGAGCATTTCAATAGAAAAATTGTTTCTGAATTGAACTGTGACACCAAAAATTGGAATAGAATAGAATCGAATCGAGGCAGCACGGTGGCGCAACTGGTAGAGCTGCTGCCTCTCAGCGAGCAGGTCCTTGGTTCAAACCCCAGTCCAGGGGCCTTTCTGGGTGGAGTTTCGAGCAGGTCCTTGGTTCAAACCTCTGTCCAGGGGCCTTTCTGGGTGGAGTTTGCATGTTCTCTCCGTGCATGCGTGGGTTTTCTCCGGGTGCTCCGGTTTCCTCCCACAGACCAAAAACATGCATGTTAGGCTGATTGGTAACTCTAAATTGTCCCTAGGTGTGAATGAGAGAGTGAATGGTTGTTTGTCTCTATGTGGCCCTGTGATGGATTTGCGACCCGTCCAGGGTGTACCCCGCACCTCGCACAGTGATTGCTGGACATGGGCACCAGCGACCCCCGTGACCCAAAATGGAATAAGCAGGTAAAGATAATGGATGGATGGATGGATGGATAGAATCAAATCACCAGACACTGAGAGGTTTGCACCCCTAATCTGGATGGTCAAAGGAAAAGTTTACAAGACAGCGGTGAGACCAGCTATGTTGTATGGTCTGGAGACAGAGACATGGACAAAAAGACAGGAGAAAGAACTGGAAGTGGCAGAAATGAAGATGTTGAGGTTCTCCTTAGGAGTGACAAGGATGGATAAGATTAGGAATGAGATCATCAGAGGCACAGCACAGGTTGAACAACTGGGAGATAAAGTTAGAGAGGCCAGACTGAGATGAGATGGTTTGGACATGTCCAGTGGAGGGACAGTGGTTTGGATATGTCCAGAGGAGGGACAGTGGGTATACTGGTAGAAGGATGTTAGAAATGCAGCTGCCAGGAAAAAGACAAAGAGGAGATATATGGATGCAGTTAGAGAGGACATGGAGGTAGTTGGAGTGAGGACAGAGGATGCAGAGGACAGGGTGAGATGGAGGAGGAGGACTCACTGTGGAGACCCTGAAGAGGGAAACGCTGAAAGAAGAAGTTTAATAGATTGTGTAATGAAAAATTTACTCTTACATATTGAATTTCACTGAGTTCTTGCCCTATGTCACTCTGCAGCATGAAAACACTCACTGCAGTAATTATTTTAAGTTATTAGTAGATTAGATTTTTTTTCTGTCTTCTTTGCCTAAATGTTGGTCAATAAGAAATAAATGCCTCAGGTAACACTGTGAGCTTCACTGCCTTCATACAGCTATCTTTGTTTGTTAGTTAGTCCGAGGTTACCTCAGCCTGGGTTATATTTCCTCATGGGTGGAGCGATCTTACTGTTCATGTAAAATATTTGATACAGTTCTTATAGAAACAATTTCTGAATGTTGTTCATACCGTGTTAATGCTACATGTTTGTCTCTTGACCCTACAACTGGGTAACGTTACAGTAGACCTAGCCCACTACTGGCGTTTTAATTAAGCATTTTAAGTTACTAATAAACATGATGGATGATGATCATATTGATTTATGCTAGGCCATTAGTAAGAAGAAGTGATTATTATTTTTGTTGTTTCATATAGGCTGGTGATTTTTTTCCTAAAATTTAACTTGGGCTACATTGTGTTTATTAGACTGTGACTAGGATGCATGAGAGAAGCGGAGCGTGCTCTATTCACACAAGGAGAGCTGTTGGTCAGGCTACTTCTTGTTGTGACATTAACTCTAAAATAGTTATGAATCAAGTGTTACTTGTGTAGATAGAACTAGATGTTAATAATCAACCTGTTAAAATATGCCAGAATGCAGGAAATGGCATCTACTTTATTCAAAATTTTCTGGAGGAGGACTCCCAGACTCTCCTTCTCATCAGACAGACCTAAAACA